GAAAACATTGGTGAATGTCACAAATTCTCCTAAATCACTCGTACGCACAATTTAAGAACAAATCTGTGCGTACGAACGGTTCTTGCATGAGGACCAGTGTTTGAGGGTCTTAGAGGACCCCACAGTGAACCAACATCCTAAACCTGAACCATCTCAGCCTGGCCTCTCTGGTCCACAAACAGACTATCATTACTGTGAAATATTAAATAATGTGCTTTTTTAATTGGACTAAACTATTTAAATTTGYAAATCTGTTTTGTATTGTCTTCATTGTTTTTAGCAGTAATGAATTTTTCTTGTCCTTAATAATTGTGTGTTTGTTTTGTATTTATACAGATGAAAAACAGCATTTTGTCTCATTATGGCTTCTTTAACTTATGAATTATCAGGTGTTTTATTAAATTGCACAGTCCCCTTTCAGATAAATAAATAATAATAAAATTAACAACAACAACAACAACAACAACAATCACTCCAATCCAGAAATCCCAGACAGCAGTTATAGCAATATTTTGAAATTTAAAGCACTACAACATTCATATTTTATAACCCCGAATCTTACTTTGACTTTAAAGTTCTTTTGAGGCTCTTTAAATTTAAATTAATTAGAAACTTTCCTACATGTTAAACTTGTCTCTCATCCTGCTTCTCCTCATGTTTATTCTTCTTCTTCCCACCTCACCATGCTCCCTACTCTCACTACAGATGTTGTAGGTACGTGACATGTTTTGCAGGTGAACGCAGTGTTTTCAGACTCCCCTCCAATTAATGTTTTTCATCGTTCAGCGGGGGGTTTCCCTCTGGTTTTTTTAGTACGTTGTAACAAAGAAGTTAATCTTTGATCATGTTTTTTATATCATTTCGTCTTGAAGTTTATCGGTGGTGAATTTGACGCTTTACTTCAACAAGCTTCAAAACACGTTCAAGCTTATTGCACTGMATAAAAAGTAGAATGCACCAAAATATAACATTTTATCTAAACAGTGGCTGAGTTTCATGACAATCTGATCAGACAAATGTTTTTTTAAGACCCCAAATGTGTCGATGCAATGACGGCAGCAAAACAAACATTTTTTTCTCTGATCCTCGGTTGATTAATAGTAAACATCAACAACCAAATAAGAGCATGCCATTTCCTAATTAAATTTCATTCAACTATCTCAAGGAATAAAAAAGTTGTGACTGTTTTTGTTGCAGAATCATCTCAGTTTTCAGTGTTAACCACAGGGAAAAAATATGAGCAATTTTTTGATAGTAAAATGGCCACAACTTTCTTGTTCCATCACTAATATAGACAATTTTAGTGACAAACTTTTAGTTGTTTCCAGCTCTATCATTGCACCTGTAAAAAGAGCAAGTCGTGGACTTATATATATATATA